GGGAAGCAGGCCTGAGGGAGGAAGCAGGCCTGAGGGAGGAAGCAGGCAGAATTCGAGGAGAGAGGGATGCTAGCAAGGGCTGGGGCTGGGGCGATTTGTGGGATTGATTACGGTTACTGCCCAGCTGGTACCCCCATCAGCGGACCAGACCCTGGAGTGAGGACTAGGTCCTTCTAGCAGAGAAGATGGTAGAGGGTATGGTCACTCCTGCTCTTCTTTTATACTCTAGCGTGGCCCCTGAGGGCTCTAAGGTACCATTCTCCTATGATTCTGTCTCCAGCCAAAGTTCCGGCTCCAGTGGCTGTGCACTGTGGGAGTGTCCCTCAGACTAGTGCTGGGCTCCGAGCACCCCCACCTGGAAGCGTCAACTCCAGTCTTCTTCCTTATGATGAAGGTGAGGACTTGGCCCGGTGACTAGGTCACACCAAATTGCTCTGGTGACCTCTCTGAGGTCTATGGCGTGGAATGGAAGAGGATCCCCTCGAAACTACCCAGTCAAGGCCACCGGCCACAGAGCTGGAACCCAGGCTGGAGGAGGAAATGTCTGCATGTTTGGACATTCTCCATCTCTGTCAGGTGTCTTGTATCCAGGCTGTTTAAGATGCTCCTAGAGACTAATTTCAGGACGTTTGCAGAAGTAGAGGTTTGGAGTTCAGTGAAAATCATCCTTAGCTACATAAGTTTGAGGCTAGCCTGGGCTACATGAGAATCTGTCCAAAAGAAAAAAAACATTTAAAAGGTGAAAATTATACACTTGTGAGCATTTAAATATGGCAAAACTTTTATATACCAATTTTTATGTGAGCGGAGTGATGCCTACTTTTAAGAATTATTTTAAGTCATAGAGAAGCAATGCAAAGAAAAACAAAGCAAAACTTAAGCTAAACCAACCAAACAACAAACCTCCCTAAATCCTCAAAACGAAATCCTTAAATAAAAAGTAGAAACAAACAAAAAATATTTTTTGGATCTCCTCAGGGAATGAGGGGAGGAGCCCCTGGGGATGGGAAAGAGGCGCTCTCAGCATAGATTAGAACTCTGGGAATCTGGGGTCCCTCACACTCCAGCAAGACAGGGCCCGCCTCCCTGGGGGCCTGCATCTTGGCCTTGGGAAGGCACTGGGGTCACAAGCATGGCAGCTCTGCTTGGAGCTTGTCTTGATTCCATGTAGCCCCTCTGTCACCTTCTGCTCCTGGACTCTGCTCTGGTCTGTAGACTGTCTAGGGCAGGGCTCAGCCTCTTTGCTCTGTGTGGAGGCTTCTGTGACTCTGCATATGCGTGTTCTCTCAGGCTGTGGTTGGTCTGGGAGTTTGGCTGTCCTTGAATTGTATGCCAGCTACAGTCCAACCTCTGCAGGTTGAGCATCAGGTCTTAGGACTTATGTCGAGGGATTCGGAGGAGAGAGACAATATAGGCGAGCTTTTGCAAGCTCCCTGCCCACAATGTCCCTTGTCTCTCCAGGTTCTAGGACTCCTCTGGGCCCAGTAGTTCATCAACCCCTTCACCACTCACTACAGCTGAACATTTTGCTCTCTAACTTAGGGCACATCTTCTGTTTACCTCGAACCTATTAGCTTTGGCTGAAAAGCCACTTGTGTGTATGTCTCTCTCAGCCTCTCCACAGCCGGCGTCAAGTGTCCTGCCAAGCAGTGAGAAGCCATCGCAGCTCCTGAGTGGGCATGAGGACCAGAGTGGCCTCATGCTGGATGCTCCTTTGAAAGGCTGGCAGGCCAGAAATGGCTACCCCAGGAACCTCGGAGCTCTGCCCTTGGGGTCCCACCCCATGGCAGCTATCCCCTCCCTGGAATCAGAAGCCAGCAGTGTGGCCCGGGACACTATCCAGATTAAGGACAAACTCAAGAAGAGACGGCTCTCAGAAGGCATGGCAGCATCTTCTCAAGGTGAGCCATGGTCCAGCCACCACCCACTCTGAGAACAAAGATGCCACACCACACAGGTTATAAGGGTCAGCAGGTGTTTGAGCTTTTCAGAATCTACTGGGGCTGGTCAGTGGGTTTCTGCTGAGGCAGGTGCTGTTGTGGGGTACAAGGTAGCATCATTTCTAACAGAAATGATGGAGAGGGGCTGTGTGTCTTTTGGGCTAGCTTAGGAGTGTCAAGGCAGGTCTACCCCTTATCAGTAGCTGAAGAAGTGAGGAGGGAGAAGGAATTGATTAGCCACTGCATCTGCCTGACATTTCGTGGACATGCAGAGGACTGGGCTTCACCAGGCATATGGCTGACTTTGCTCTGGAGTGTGTATCCCTTGAATATATTATTAATTTCATGTTTCTGACCAGCACATGGAGCAGAAACAACTGGAGAGGAGAAGTTCTATGTTGGATCACCGTTTCAGTGCATGGTGGGGCAGGCTGGGTGCTGTAGCTCTGTTCATGGAAGTGGGTGCACATGTCTGAGGCTGGTCCTGTCAGGAAGCTGAGTGCAAGCTTGGACCCAGAGTCTGGGCTATAACCTTCAAAGGCCTGTCCTCAGTGACCTACTTCCTCCCTCCTCCAGCTGGGCCTCATCTCCTGAAGCCTCCACAGTTGCTCTAAATAGCACAGCCAGCTGGGAGAGTGCTCCAAAGAGGAGTCTGAGGAGGGACATTTTCGATCTGAAGTTAGGGTTGTGGAGGATCATATGCTGTCTCTCCAGGGCCAGCTGTGCCCTCTCTTAGCCCAACACTGCTCTTGTCTTTCCACCCGTACCATCTTTGATTTTGATTTGCATTTCTACCAAGTTTTATGGAAATGAAAAGGAACCCACAAAGCCTGCTGCTCATCTAGTGTTCTGGTGGATGCTAGGTGCAGGGCTGGGGAGCTTGACTCTCTCCCCTCCCCCTCCATCATCCCCTCTTGTCCCAGGACATGAGGCCTAGGTTAGTATAGCAATCACCCGCAGCTCTCCGTGCTCCAGGTACTAACGTGTTCCCCATCTTACCCCTGCTCAGCCTCTCTGGATCCGGTGGGAGGCCCCAGAGGAGTTCCTCTTCGGAGCACCATCCCCCGAACCACCTCACAGAGGCTTCTGAGGGTACCCAGGCCAATGCCTCCCATCCAGAGCATCCCCACCACCCCTGAGGCCAGCAGTGCCAAGGAGAAGGACCTGGACCCACCTGGAGGCAGACAGGATCTCCAGGACTCGGGATCTAGTGCCCAGGAGGTATGGTGGCTCTGTAGCTGCAGGTCTTTACTGCAGTTGCCTTACCTGCTTTCTGTTCCTTTACCAATTCTTGTCCCTGTGCCCCGTGCATCTCTGCAAGTGTCTCAGGACAGTCCTCAAGACCAGGGTGGCATTGAGAGAGACTCTAGGCCCTCGCTTCACTTTCCCCATAGTGTTCCAGACCGTTACAGCTGGCCTGAGAGTGTTGGGGGGCTGCCTGAGAGGTACAGGGGCTACAATACAGTCTATCCTGGAATTGGTGGCCCTTAGGCTTTCTTTGGTATTCATGTTTTGGGATTTGCCCGGTTTTCTGGTCGTCTCTTGCTTAATGCCAACTCGTTGGCATGGGGACCACCTCCTTCCCAGGCCTATTGTATAGATCTGTAAAAGCAGAGCTTGAATTGGGTGTTTTAGAGGGTCCCTTCCAGCTAAACATAGTCAAAGGTTTTTCTGAAATGAGAAGACAAAATAAATCCAAAAAAAAAGTTAAAACAACAGAAAAGCTTGTCAGTCTTCCTGGAGTGGCTGGGAAGGGGCAACCTTCCCAGAGGGGTTGGAGTGGGCCTAAGAGACTGAAAAGGGAAACAAGAGGACATTTTCCAGCATCCTCTCGCCAGCTGGCAGGAGACACTTTGTGCAAGGCTACCAGGAGCTGAAAGCACAGTGTGAGTCATGCTTCCAAGGACCAGGCTCCTTCCCGCTCGCAGGTGCAGATTTCCAGGCAATACCTGCATTGTGCCGATGAGAAGATGCTCAAGTCTTTAGGAGGCATCGTGATCCCGCCCATTCCGAAGGCCCGGATGTCCACAGGGACCTCTTCCTGCAGGCCTGGCTCCTTGCCCAGCCCCTTGTGTCCAGGCCAGGATGGGCTTATGGGACCAAGGGCCCCACATGCGCGGTAAGCAGCTTACTTAAAATCTCAAGTCTGTTTGTGGTCATCTCTCCTGTAACGTGTCCCACCCCCTATTCCCTTGGGCTCATCACTGCTGAGTCATCATGGCAGGCATGGCCTTGAGGCACCAGGTTTGGAAAGGATAAAATCCCCTCCCATGAATGCCAGACACATGAATGCCAGACACATTGTTTCAGCTTCTCTGATCCTGGACTCTGGCTGGCTCTGAAGGCATAGGTGACAAGCGATGTGGGCAGCTTGCTTTCTAGTTTCTTAATGTCTACAGTTGCCATAGTGATGAATAAAGTACACATTGTTTTAAGGCATGATCAAGTTCATGGTGACTCTTTCTTATTATGTATTTTCTTAGCCAATGGATACTGAAACCACCACCATTATCACGTATAATGTGTGTGTATGTATATAATGTATATAGCATGTGCTCATGTGTGTACATGTTTGCATATGCATATGTGTGGGTATATGGGTTTTTCATAAAGCTTTTGGACTGCGAAAGGGTCTTCATACCCAGAAACAGTTGGGACAGAGGCTCTAGGTTATTATGAATCTGCTCGTAAAGAAGACAGGCAGCATCTTCTAAATGGCTATCAGCATCCAGTGGCTAGCCCAGACTGATGCCCCAGCGAGGCACATATAAGAACTCATAGGCACACGCCTGTGAGTGTATGTCTGTAATCATGTTTGTGTATGTGTGTGTGTTTGTATACACGTGAGTGTCTGTGAATGTATGTGAGTATGAGTGAGTGTTCACCAACTATGGGTGTGACCCTCCTAGTGTGGAGTTAGTTTACGTTCTATCGCTATGATAAATCATCACAGGGTCAAGCAAGTTGACCGTTTCAGAGGGTAAGAATCTACTATGGGGCAACATCAGGTATCATGGCACAGGATGCCGAGAGCTCACATCTTGACCCTCAAGTGGGAAGCTTTTGAAACCCAGAGCCTGCCTGTAAATGGCATAGTTCCTCCAGCAAGGCCACACTATCCAAACATTGCCACCCACCCTGGACCAAGTGTTCAAATGCCAAGACTGTGGGGGCACCTTTGTCATGTAAGCCACTGCATACGGTTGTCACAACCTCCTGCATTTCTTTGGCCTGATCTTCCAAAGTCTTCCACTTCTCTCTGGCTTTCTTGATCTCATGTTTCCTGAGCTACCTTCTCTGCACACTCCCATGTCTCCATCTTTGTCTGGGCTCTGCTGGGCTGTGGGAATGTGCCCATGCACTTGCTCCTGCATGGAAGCTCTCTCCCTTCACACGCAGCTCACTCTGCACTGGCCTCCTTTGCTGTGGGACACTCCTCCTGGTGCCCGGCTTCTCCTCCTCTCTCAGTGGCATTAGTGGTAGAGTCCTTGCTCTGTCTCCCTGGTTTTTATACCCGTGTCTTGATCCTCCAGGCACTCTCTTACATGTCTTTCATCTGTTGCTTAAATTTGCCCATCCTCAAAATTCCTGTTTTTTTTTCTCTTTCTTTTTTCCCCTGAAGTCTTTCCCCGTGACCGTGATCTCCAGGATCATGGGGCTCTGGCTGACTTTGCCATAGCCTGACCTCTCTCTGGAGACCCACACTGTCACAGGACTTCTGGTTTCTCATGGCATGCTGGTCGACATTGGAGGAAGTAGGAGGGAAGGGAATGCATATTACCATGGCAACCTGAGGCACCTTGTGCTTCCCCAAACTGCCCTTTGACAGAGGAGCTGCCTTTTGTCTCCATCTTCAGCAGCCTGGCTCTGGCTTCATGTGCTTCTTGTGCCTCACTGAGTGCCCCTCCCCATGCCTTTTTTACAATGACAGCAAGCACAGTCGCTCTCATCTGGTTCTCACTTCCCACACTGCACTCACAGCTGCTTCTTAACTTTATCCAAACGGTCCTGGTCAGCCTTATCCAGCCCCTTGCTTTTCAGCCTCCCCTTCCGTGTTCAATCCCCTTGCAACCCTTCTGTGATCTTTGACTTTCTTCACCCTTTGCTGTCAACAGCTTTGAGAGGCGACTGCTTGGTCTGACCCCCAGGGAGCAGCCTCCCTCCTCCTGTGCTATCTATAGGGTCCATCCAACTCCTTTGTGGGAGTGCTGGTTCCTGAACCAGAGCCTTACTTCCTCTGTGGCACTTTTCTGTCCTGCACATCAACATAGCCCTTCCACCTCTGCCTCACCTGGCCTTCTTGCTGGGGAGGACAGGACGGAGTCACCTCCGCCTTGTCCACACAGCACAGACTGCCTGTATACCCCCACCTCCCTTCCATTGCTTCATTGATTTAACTAATAAATCTTGCCAATTTAAATTGATTTTGTTTCCTCTTTATGTCTACCCATTTATCTTTTCTTGTTTAAAACCTCATTCTATTCTTTAACTTGGCACTTTAGAGGTCAGGGGCCATATCTCAAAATCCTGTGATGCTAAGCTAGGAGCCTAGCAGGAATTAGTCCCATAGAAAACACCCGCCTTAGCTGTCCATCTGCAACTTGACTCTCTCTTCCCCGCCTCTGTAAAGCTGTCTAGCAAATAGGTGGGAAAGTCACCCTATTGCTACTTCATTCATTCATCTGCCTAATCATTTATTCACGTCAAAAAAAAAAACTATTGAGCACCTACTGTCTGCTTTGAAAACTGGGGTGAAAACACTTTTGGGGGATGAAAGAGATTTGAAGGCAAATCATTGAGTCCAAGTCCAATGAGAGTGGAGGTGAGACAGAAGGTCTCACCAGTCTATTGGGAAGCCCAATAGAAAAGCATCTCAATGAGGCCAATGATTTCTTGGGGAGAATTGTGAAGGAGGGACAGCCCAAGATGGAGGACAAAGACACTCAGAGAGGGATGACAGGGACGTTTATAGGAAGCTACCAAGAGTCTGCTTGTGAGACTGGCTCAGCCTATGAGGGGCCTATGAGTTCTCACCTGAAACCTCTAAGCCCTATCTTGAAACAACTAGGGGTCATCGGAAGCTCTTAGGTGTGGGGACGAGACAGCTCTGATGTTAGAAGGCCACTGTGGGGATGGGGAGGTGGCTTGGCAGGCAAACTATGCAGTGCGTGCACGAGATCTGGGTCTCTAGAACCACTTGAAAGCTGATGGCCATCTGGACTTATCTATGATCCCAGTGTGTAAGAGGTGCAAATGGAATCCTTAGAGCAAGCTGCATAGCCACATTAGCTGGAACAGCAAATTGTGGGCTCAGTGAGGGAGCCTGTCTCAAAACATAGGGGACAGATGGAGGGAGACACTCAGCGTTAACTTTGGGCCTTCACACACATGCACACACATTTGCATGTGCACCTGCCATACATGTACTGCCCCTCAAAACACCAACACAGCCAGGCATGGACAACATATGCATCCAAGTTTTAAAAAGCATGGGAAGCAGTGGGGAGGTGAGGTGGCTAAGCAGCTAGCACACTTGTATGTAGCATGGGCCAAGGCTGTGGCAGGAGCTGAGGGGAGAAATCCAGGTCCTCCATCGGCCATGCTACAGTCAAAGGCATGGGTCTAACCTAAGACAGCAGTTTTCATATGGCTGCTGTTACTACCTAGGGAATAGATGTTTGCACAGCCAGGGAATTGCCTAGCCCTGAGCATGGATGGCCTGGCTGATAATCAATCAGCCCAATCTTGTTATCAGGAGCTATACCTTCTGCCACTCTGACAGGGAAACTAGCTCATCTCTTTGTCCCTCTCACCATCTCCCACCTTGGAGCAACCCCAGGCTTCTGGCCCTGGTGTCTCTGGATAACTGGGTCTCACACAGTTCTTTTCTCTCTCTTCCTTTTAAGATTGACTTGTGAGAATGGGCCTCTGGAAAAGACCCCTAAATCTCTGGGTACGTATTCCCATGAGGACTCATCTCGATTCTGTTTCTTTGCCTCCGTGTTCTGGTTTATGGAGTTAGGCCAGGGGAGACCTGAGGGCTCTCGGGCCAGGCCTCTCATTTCACAGATCGATGGAGAAGCTGAAGTCACCCCACGTTAGAGTGGTGATAAGCCTGTGCCAGGGACCAGGAAGGCAACGGTACTTATCGGCACCCACTCTTTGGAGCACCAGGATGCACACCAATTCACATAGCACATGATGGTCCAGATGAGAGAGGGATGCTGTTCCTTTTTGATGAACCAGGTGACTCAGACTGAGTAGTTTGATTCAGGCTACCTTGAGGCTCAGCAAGCTCACAGTGCTGCTCTTGGAGCCTGTTAAGCAGCTTGGCAAGACCTGCATCCAGAGTTGCACAGTGGAAAGATTGGGCCTGACACACACAGTAAGCACAGGCTTCTTAGTCTGTGTAAAGCATATAGAGATGCCATCACTGGACAGAGTGAGATATTAAACCACTCCTCATACGCCTTGGGCAGTTACTCTCAGCAGATTCAAAGGTCAGGGGAGCAGGGCCAAACAAAGAGTAGATGTGGGGGAAGGGCAGTTTTCTAGAAGGAGGAGGGAGAAGGGACAGGAATGGATGTAGAAGGTCATCCCTCCTGGGCTGATAATCTGCTGCTTGGGAGAGACCTTGGGATGAAGGGAAGCTGTACTGTGTCTGGAGAGTAACTAGAGGGCAGGAAGAGGCCACAGCCTGTGAGGGCACTCTGAGTTCAGACTGCACAGAGCTGACTGGAGGGAGGGTGACTGACTCCCTGGCAGGTCCCTGACTTATCAGCTCAGCAAGTGAGGTGGCTGGCAGAGTGACAGGCTGTTGACCTGGACTCTCTGAGCTGGGTCTGAGAGGCAAGGCTGGCAGCTACACCTCAAAGGCAGGTACCTCTCCTGTCTCCCTGGCTCAGTTGTGTGGAATGTGCCCCGTATGTCCTTATGTATTAGCCCTCAGATGGCAGGTATGGGGGTTTGGTCTAGGAGACCATGTCACCAGGTGTCCATAAACAGGGACAGCCTGCTCAGACAAGGCTTTCTAGGTGTCCCTTGGGGGTGTGGGTAAGAAATTGGATATATGAAAAATCTTCGAGCACAGTCTGTCTCTGGCTGTCAGTCGGGGTGACACTGCCCAATAGTCACTATAAGGGCTGCCATGCTGTCTCCAATCTTGTGGTGTTCTCACAGACCTCACTCTGAGCAGTTGACCCCTGAACATCTGCATCTTCTCCTGCCACAAACAGAGGAACCCTTCATAAAGAAATGATGACCAAAGAACCATGTAGATACAAATACTCAAAATGCCCTTTCCTGTCCCGAGCATCCCCAGATGGCAGCCCCAATCTCAATGAACCTCTGGTGAGCCGGCTCTTTTGAGATGGTGAACATCCAAATTTAGGGGCAGGAGGAAATTAAGGAACTCATTCCTGTTCTATCTCTGCTTTAAAATGTTCCTTTAAATCGAAAGACTGGGAAAATGCAGAGTGATGCCGAGCTGCTATGGAGTTGTTGTTGTTTGGAAAAGAAGGTTGCTGGGCCTCAGTTTCTCCATCTGTGAAGTGAGAGGATAGGACTAGTGTTCAAAAATTCTCAGGCTCCTTCTAGTTCTGCTTGAGTGGTATAAACGTTTGGCAGGATTATTTTATTTCACTGATATCCCACTCTCTGCCCACTTAGAATAAAATGTGCAGTTCTTGCTTTCTGAATGAATGAGTGAGTGAGTGAATGAGTGAGTGGTTGGAGTATGACATGGTCCTTGACATCCCTGGCAATGCTACTCTGAAGAATATCTAACTTCCCCATTAGGGAAGTGTGAGCCAGAAGGACTGAAGGTTGAGGGCTTGTACTGTAAAATCCATCAGGCACAGGGTCAGGGACCCATTGATAGCCCACGGTGCCACTGTCTTCAGCTCTGTCCCTCCTCTTGACTTCTCCAGCACCAAAGCCTTTGGTCCCAGCTGTCAAAGCCAAGTCTTCTGAAGCCACCCCAGCGTCACTGGCTTCATCACAGTCTGCCTTTACTCTGACATCATTCTCCAGCCATGCCAAAGAAACCCGCTCCCTGGCGAACGAAGAAGACCAGAGGGAGTCCAGCACCAAGGTACCAGGGAAGCAGGAGGAGGAAGCAGCTGAGGTCCAACTGTCTGGATGCAAGCACGCTTCTAAAATCTGCTGTGCGTGGCCAGCCAGCTGATGGGGAATGAGGCAGAGTCAAGAACTGCCAAGGATGTTTCTCCAAGCATCTGTGGGCAGTTTGGGGAGGAGGGCTGCCAAAATGTAGAGAAACAAGAAGGAAGCGGAGGTTGAGGGTGAGGACCAGGAACAAGGAGGAAGGCAGGTGGAAGGAGTGGGGAAGGACAGGAGGTCACACGTGGGCTGGAGGAGAACAGGATGCTGGAAAGAGGACAGAGGCTTAGCTGAACCAGGCTGAGTAATTTGAACTGACCCCCAAGATAGCAGCAGAGAGGCAGCTGACTCAGAGGCTGATGGGCCAAAGCTGTTCTTGACAGGCTGACAAATACCTTGCACTTGGAAGGTGACCTTGGGAAGGTGGCTTCTCTTCCCTGATTGAGATAAATTTAGTCATACATGGTCATTGTTATGGGATCCTTGTGTTCTTCCTTTGAAACAGGCATGGCAGCTTAGCTCTGAAGCCGATGTGGAAGGCCTGCCCTGAGCGTGGGCTATATCACAGACACAGATGCCTTGCTGACAACATGAGAGCCAGGCTCTAGTGAGGGTGGCCATGAAAATTCTATGTGTGATATGACTTTATCTTACAGCCTGCCTCAGCCACTCACTCCACAGTCATTCCACAGGCCTGGACACCACAAGTTGTTTTGTCCTAAACACATTATCTCAACTCCAAGGTCCTGCTTGCTCACTACCATCTCCTGATCTGGCTCCACCCACCCAGTGCTCCGGTATCAGCCTTTGGCTGTTGCCCTTTATCAGTGACATGCTGCTGGAACACGGGGCATTCCCAGCAGCCCAATGACTCTCTGTTGGCCTCTTCCACACTGGCCTCAGTCCTCACTGAGGTCCCAAATGTCACATCTCAATCCTCCTCTGCCTTGCACCAGATTTTGATTCAGCTTCTGACTTGTCCTTTCTGAACTTTCCGCCTAGGGACACAAGTGAGAAAGGAGATGTTCTAGGCTTTCATTAAGGCCAGTTCATCCCCTCCTTCCTTTGCATACCCCTCCATCTTCCTGACCTGTAGACACCAAGGACCCCAGGACTCAGTCCTCTTGTGCCTGGGTTACTCAATTATCTCAGAAAGTGTGTTTAGTCCGTGGCACCAACTGCTGTGTCTAAAGTACTGTAGGCTAAAGACTGTCAAAGTCCTCACTGCACCTCCCCTTCAGAATCTCTCTTAAATATCTAATTAGGTTCTGAGTCTACCATGTCTAGAACGTCTACATTTGCATCTGTAACTCAAAAGGTCTCTACCAGTGAGTGGCAACTCCTAGCCGCTCAGGCTAAAAATCTCAGGCCCACCTTTGGCTTCTCTTTCCCTCTCTCTATCTATTTCCCTAATCTGTGTATCAGCAGAACCAACCCTACTTGCAAACAGCTTTTGTGTTCCACTGTCCCTTTACCCTAGTCCACCGCCATCCCCACTTCTTGCATGGATGTCCCATTATTCCCTCATGGCTTTCCATGTTCTTGATTCTCTCTATGCAATGGTCAGCATGATCTTTGGGAAACAGAAGTCAAAGTGTTCTATGGTTGTTGATAACATCATTGGTGGAGGCTGCATAAAGGGGCTTCTCATCCCAACAACAACAACAACAACAACAACAACAACTTCTTTTTTTTCCCTCTTCCTCCTCCTCCTCTTCTTCTTTCTGGAACTCACTTTGTAGACCAGGCTGGCCTTGAACTCAGAGATCTGTCTAGTATGTACCTCTACACTTGGCTCCATTTTCACAACTTTTTATAAATGTAGGATTTTTATATTGGATATTTATTTGTCTACATTTCAGATGCCATCCCCTTTCTCCATTTCTCCTCTCTAGAACCCTCCATCCCATCCCCCCTCCTCCTTTTTGCTTTTATATCATTTTAATTATATGCAAGTATTAAGGCCAGTTCTAGGTTGAGGAACTAGCAATACAATAGATGTAAATAGTCAAGGAACAAACAAGACAATAAACACAAATAATTAAAGAACAAGCAAGGCAATAAACAAAGTCCCATGATCACTCCTGTGATCACTGTTTCTAAGGGTTTATCAGGATGACCAAAATATCTGAACCAACTTCCCTGTCCTAGTCCAACGTCATTTTCATGTCTGAAGTCTACTTCCTTGTTCTAGCCTAATATTTAGATTCCTGCCTGAAGTCCATTTCCTTGTCCTTGGCCTATGTCAGATTTTTGCCAAGCAGCCCCAAAAGCTCTCTGCCTCTCCCCCTTTTTTATTTCATAAACAAGACTGAGCCTGTCTTAGGTTGTTCTGCCAAGAATGCCTTCCTTACCCATTGTGGAATATGCATTAGCAAAAGCAATGCACTTCTGTCTTAGGTTGGTAAGGCTCTGTGCAGAATCTTACCCATTTTTGGCTTGCCAGCCTGTTAATTTAGTAACTCTTTCTGGGGGTCCATTTTCAGTTTCAAGCCATGTACTTTGGCTGCCAACATGTTGATATTGTTAAAGACAAGGTTTAACATGATGGGCAGGAATAAAAATATTCCCTTTATTTATTTTATGTATGTGAGTACACTGTCACTGTCTTCAGACACACCAGAAGAGGGTAACAGATCCCATTACAGATGGTTGTAAGTCACCATATGGTTGCTGGGAATTGAACTCAGGACCTCTGGAAGAGCAGTCAGTGCTCTTAACTGCTGAGGCATCTCTCCAACCCTCACAAATTCTGAAGAATATCAATCAATTTAAAGATAAAATGTTATGAAAACACAGTTTTTGGAGAAACTGCTCTCTCCAAGTGAAAGAGTTGGATCCTGTTACGCCTCTGTTCAATACTTTAAATGGCCTCTTACATCCTGATGAAAAGTTGGAACCCCTTGTTGCTGGCTCTAGAAGTCAGTGTAAAATAAATCCTGCCAGTTCCTGGCTTGCTTTAACTCAGTGCTCCCCACTTATTCTGGACACACCCCTCCTCAGAGACTTTGTAGTCACTTTTCTGCTAACATGTTTATCTCCTCAAAACTGTGTGGCCTGTTGCCTGTCTTCATTTGTATCTCCACTTAAATTTCATGCTGAAGGGAGTCCCTTATCTAAGGGGTTCCTTCCATGAAGTTAAAGCTGTCTTCTCGTTGCCTTACTTTTTTCCTAGCATATCTCATATGACATTACAGGCAGATTGACTATTTACATCCACCCCTTCCGTGAAGCTCCCAGGACATCAGGACTTAGCTCTTTTTTGTTCCCTCTGGAACGTGGCTGACATGTGGAAGGCAGTCTTACGTTTCACGACTAAATGAGTGAAAGTGTAGAAAGACTGGTTGGGTTCTCAAGGTTAATAGATATTTCCTTGACCTTGTGCCAGGTCCAAGTCACCATTTCCAAGTCTGCACAGGAAAAAATGCGACTGAAGCAGATGAAGGAGATGGAGCTGCTTCGGAGGGCAAAGGAGCCAGAGCGGGAGCGAGAACTGGCCTCCCAGGGCTTAGGCACATGGAGAACCTCAGCAAAGGAAGGTACTGATGCATTGGGTGGGTGTCTCCAATGGGAAAGCTTTCTGGACAACTCATGGGCTCTCAACCTTCCAGAAGATGAGCTTCCCATACCTCCTCCCCTTCCCCATCCTGAGACAGGACAGAGAATCATCCCTTGTCACCTACCGATACACCCATTCCCACAGAAATGTCATGCCAGGAATGCAGAGGACCTGCTTAGTCCAGGATCTTTTCCCACAGGTCTCCTTCCTTTGCGGGGCAGTGGAACCCTGTCAGAGCCTACTGGGATAAGCAGCCCACGAAGAAACAATATAGGAGTCCTCCAGAGGAAGCGGGCTAACCGAGCTTCCCTGCCTAGCATCCCTGTCAGCAAGCAGGAGCCTGGCTTTGCCCGACATGCATCAGGTGGGACTTGACCTCTCTCTGGGCCACCTCTGGGTGCTCTGGGATGTGGTCAGGGGGACCCTGGCTACCTGTCTTTGTCATGTTGCTCAGTAGATGGTTAGGCAGTTCTGCTAGCCTACTGTGACATGTCCTAGAGAAGTCATCAGTATATGAGGACCAAAGATACAGCCAAGGAACTACTTCCAAGGGGAGCTCTGGGAAGATTTTGGATGCTTGCCTGTGACTTCGTACTGTTGGGACTGGACAGGGCTGGCTGGGACCAAGGAATCCAAGATCTAGCAAGGAGACATCAGGGGACATGCCAAGGAACCAGGGGACATTCCATTCACTTTTAAAGGAGTCCTACCTCCTCTTCCTCTTCTTCCCTTTCCTTCTCCTCCTTCCATCCTTCTCCCCCTCCCTCCTCTCCCCCTCTCCTCCTCTCCCCTCCCCCCCCCCTCCTCCTCCTCCTCCTCCTCCTCCTCCT